GCTGATGTCCAGAGGAGTGTTTCCTAGGTTTTCTTCTAGGATTTTTATAGTTTCAGGTCTTAAGTTTAAGTCTTTAATCCACCTTGAGTTAATTTTTAGATATGGTGAAAGATAGGGGTCCAGTTTCATTCTTCTGCATATGGCTAGCTAGTTTCCCCAGAACCATTTATTGAATAGAGTGTCCTATCCCCATTTTTATTTTTGTTGGCTCGGTCAAAGATCAGTTGGTTGTAGGTATGTGGCTTTCTTTGTGGATTCTCTATTCTGTTCCGTTGATCTATGTGTCTGTTTTGGAAGGGAGCTTTTTTAAAAAAAATTTCTATTTTTATACCAGAACCATGCTGTTTTGTTTACTGTAACCTTGTAGTATAATTTAAAGTTAGGCAATGTGATTCCTCTGCATTTGTTCTTTTTCTTTAGAATTGTTTTGGTTATTTGACTCTTTTTTTTGGTTCCATATAAACTTTAGGATTGTTTTTTCTAGTTCTGTGACAAACAATGTTGGTGATTTGATGAGGATTGCATTGAATCTGTAAGACTACTTTGGGCAGTATGGTCATTTTTACAATATTGATTCTTCTAATTTATGAACATGAAATATTCTTCCATTTGTTTGTGTCATCTACAATTTCTATCATCAGGGTTTTGTAGTTCCTCTTGCAGAGATCTTTTACCTCCTTGGTTAAATGTATTTCTAGGGTCTTTTTTGTGTGCGTGTGTGTCTGTATGGTTTTTGTCACTGGGATTGAGCTCTTGATTTGGTTCTTGGCTGGAGTGCTATTGGTGTATAGAAATGCTACTGATTTTTGTACGTTGGTTTTTTATCCTGAAACTTTTTGAAAGTCATTTATCAGGTCTGGGAGTTCTTGGAGGAATTATTAGAGTTTTCTAGGTGTGCAATTGTGTCACCAGGAAACAAAGATATTTTGACTTCCTCCCTGCTAATTTGAATGCCTCTTAATTCTTTCTCTCGCCTGATGACTCTGGGTGGGACTTCTAGTACCACATTGAATAGGAGTGGTTTAATCTTACGATTACTGGAGCTGATCATTTTTGGGAAAAGACTTCCTCCTTTGATACATTTCATTTTCTTTCTCATGTTTTTTTTAAAAAAATTATATTTCTATCTCTTCATGGCCTAAATTGGGAGGGGTTTTTTGGTTTTTGGTTTTTTTGGCAACCAATAACTTCTTGTTTTAATGACTATTTCTTTATTGTGGTCAAATAATACATAACATAAAATGTACCCTTTTAACCATTTTTAAGTGTACAATTCAGTGGCATTATCCATCTCTAGAACTTTCTTACCACCCCAAACTATACACATTAAACAATAATGCCACATTGCCCCAATGACTATTGTTTTTAAAAGCAATAGATGTTATATTAAGCTTTCACTTTCTTTAAGTGAATGAGCACATAATTGTTTTAGGGATGTCAGAGAAAGGCATAGTTGCTAATATAATAGCAAATGCAGAACCCACTGACAGAGGTATATAATTTGTGAAACAGCTGAGTGGGCTAAATTCTGATTTTCAGTTGCCCCAGGCACTTCAGGGCACTTCTGATAATGATTCTCCTTGGGCATGTAGTTACATTGATAGAAATCACATCCATGCATAAAAAGTGAGCTTAATTACATGTAACTATATACCTAATATGAGGTTTTACTTTTTTTTTTTTTAACTTACATTTCCTGGTTTACAGAAGATGAGACACTAAATTCTAACTGATCTCAAAAAAAGAGTGTACCCTCAGGGCATGAGTCTTATTGTCTGAGTGTCCGAGTTCACCTTTTTCCAGACATACTACCTCTTGCTCTTCCCCTCTCTCTTTAGGGGAGTTTCCTTTACAGGGTGATTCCACAGTCTCATCTGGTCCTTGCTGTGACCCTGAAGACAGGCAGATGCACAAAGGCTGATTTGGGGTTTTGGATGCAGTCAGTGGTGGAGTGAAATGAACTGATTCCTACTGAGAAAGGCATTTCTTTACACCCTCAACTCACTTGTACTAAGCCCAATCATTTGTGCTCAAAATAATAAAACAAATAATACATAGTAACACATAATTGTTAAGTAATAAAATGGTCTGGATAGTGATATATGCCCCAGGCACTCTGCTGAATGCTTTGCATGTATTATTTTGTTTAATCCTCACAATTCTGTGAGCCAGGAATCAAATCCCCATTTTACAGATGAGAAAACTAAGGAACGGAAAGATTGTTTAACTTGCTAGTGGTACCCAGCTAGTAACAGACAGAGGATTCAAATCCAGGCAGCCAAGTGCTGTTGCCCCTAGCTTCTCTATCAACATGGTCTATGGTCCTTATCAGGCCTGACAGCAGGGTTCCCTTGGAAGAGACTCAGGTTTAAACTACCCTCTCTATAAAGAAACCCAGAGCACACTTAGGGTAACCCCAAATCTGAGAGGGCTTATGCATGACGTTTACCTATTCCCAAGAAGTCACCTGGAGGTCCAGCCAGGAAAGCCATGGCACAGATGGCAGCAGATCGGTGACAAGCCAGTGAAGAATTCGCACCTGGGGATATACAGCAAACAGTTTTATAATCAAGGCAATCAAGTTAATCATTCAAATTCCTGTACGGTGTTTACAATTACATTGATTAAGCATGCCGCCTACATGGTTCTCAGCTTTGCTTGGTCACCTGCATCCCTGACTCATTCCTGGGACTATGTGGAGACCAACCTTGGTCAGGGACCGCTCTCTGAGGGAGGGGGCAGAAAGAAACCAGGTAGAGCGGAAAACAGTCTATATCCAGACAATACCCACAATACTCATGGCTTGTCTCGGATAAGGTCAGGCACAAGGTCTGGAGGTAGAGGCTCTGGCCAGGGAAAGAGGACGGGCAAGACAGAGGTCATCATCCCCGGCCCTCATTTGCTATGTGGCTGGTGAGAGGACATGGGAGGAAGGGTCCTGCTGAGCACTGGCACTCTCTGGGTTTCTGCACTATTGCCTATGTCCATAGTGGCTGCATCCTTCTCAAAACCACTCTCCCTCAAGGGGAATCACTGGTCCAGAACTGAACAATCTGGATTTACAAGCCCTGCTGTGAGAATCCCTTTCCTGACTGTTACTTGTCATGTGTGGCGGTGGGCTTGGTATGGCTGGAGTCACGGGGGTGAAAGTATTTCACCAAGACAGTCATGAATGAAGAAATGTGATTTATTTTTATTTTTATTTATTTATTTTTTTTGAGTTGGAGTCTCACTCCGTCCCCGAGACTGGAGTGCAGTGGCCGCTCCTGGCCGCCGCAGCCTCGACCTGCTGGGCTCTGGCGATCCTTCCGCCTCAGCCTTCCGAGTAGCTGAAACTACAGGCGCACGCTACCACATCCGGCTCATTTTTTGATTTATTGTAGAGATGAGGGCTCACCAAGTTGCCCAGGAGGGTCTCGAACCCGCGGGCTCAGGCAATCCACTCACCTCAGCCTCCCAAGGCGCGGGATTACATGCTGAACCGCCGAGCCCGTCTGAAACGTGATTTATTAAAGGGAAGATTCGTTGTGAAGGGCACAATAGGCAGAGACAGCAGAGAGCGTTTGCTGTCTCAAAGAGGCAGGGTCTAGGTAGAAGCATTTATAGGACTGTATTGGGGTCCAGCGTGTGGGCCAGGGGCATTGTCCCCCCACCCCATGGGGAAGTTTGCAAATTGGCTACATGCTGTGCCAGAGGTTTGTACCGTAGGCTGATTAACTGTGGGGCTTTAAGAGAGAGTTAATTAACAGCAATAGTTGACAGCTTTTGTGTACCAGAACTAGCAGCAAATGGTTAACTACTTTATGTTTACCTTGGAACTAATAGCAAACGTTTTACAGCTGGCTAGCCGGCTTTTACAGCTCTTGCTGGTATCAGTAAGCTTCTCTGTAACATTTGTAAAATCTCATCCTGAGATGTCCTTCCTCAATTTACCCAATTGTTGCTGGCCTTATGGAGTCATGTTTCTCCATATTACTGAGTTCAACTGGTTGCTAGGATGGGGCTAGGTGTAAAGGAATGGAGTTCAGACCAGCCTGGGCAACATAGTGAGACTCTTTAAAAAAAATGAGCCAGGCGTGTAGTGTGTGCTTGTAGTTCCAGCTACTCCGGAGGCTGAGGCAGAAGAATCACCTGAGCCCAGGAGGTCGAGGCTGTGGTGAGCTGTGATCATGCTACTGCACTCCAGCCTGGGCAACAGAGTGAGATCCCAACTCAGAAAAACAAAAGAATGTGTTTGCAGATAGTTTTCATAATGTTCATGAGTTAAATTCATGTTTCAGGTACAAGCACTTTACTCTTCAGGTGGCACTTTTCTGAATAATTGTGTGACCTCTGAGGCCTGCGCCCTCCTCATGTCAAGAGGCAACATGCTGCTCCAAGTTACTCTGGCAGTCTCAGGCTACTTCTGCTCATTTAGGCCTTCTGATACTTCCTAAGGAGGTTAGCCATGCTGTCCTTGAATAATCATACCTTCAATTAGACTAAAAATAATTTCTAACGATCTTGATGCTGGAGTATAGTCTTTATTTCCAAACTGACATAATATTCAGCAGCCGTTATCAGATAGCTCTACTGAACAACGGTGACAGTTTGCAGTTGAGTCATAGGGAGGATTTGTTAGGACATGTTTAAAATGATGTCATAGAAAGAAAAATATGGAAGCTCAGACTTAGGATAGGGACCTGAAAGGCATCAACTGAGGCTGCAGCTGAAGGTATTTTTTACTTCCACCACACTCATGTCTTCTCCTTGCTCCCTCTCCGTTTTGGGGTTTTTGTTTGTTTGTTTTTGTTTTTTTAACATCACTGTTAAGGCAACACAGTGTATGTACCCTGTCGTATCCTTGGCCTGTTCTGAAAACCCTGCCCGTTTGGTCAAGTGACTTCAAAGCACCATCCGGATCACACCATGACAAGAAAGAGATGTGTTTTCAAATTAAGCTAAGCCAAAGGCAACCAGAGTTGGTTTATTTTAATTTTCTTATTTCATTTTAATTATAGCCACTTGGAGCCAGTGACTATTTGGAACTAGCAAAGAATTTTGATACAATATTTTTACGAAACATTCCACAATTTACTCTGGCAAAGAGGACTCAAGCCCGAAGGTTCATAACTCTCGTCGATAACTTCTATGAGTTCAAGGTAAGGATACAGTATGTTTGCTCAGCGCTAACCATCGTGGGCTCTGGAGCCAGGTGGTTTGGGCTGGAATCCTGGCTTTACCACTTATTTCGCCTCCCTGTGCCTCAGTTTCCTTATCTGCAAGTCAGGGATGATAATGACTTACTTCAGAGGGTTGGTGTGAGGACTCAAAAACTAGTCCATGTAAAGCATTTAAAGCGTTTAAAGCATTTGTCACAAGCTTTTGGAGTCAGAATCTCACTCTGTTGGCCCAGGCTGGAGTACAGTGGTGGGATCACAGCTCACTACAACCTCAAACTCTTGGGCTCAGGTGATTCTCCCACCTCAGCCTCCCAAGTAACTGGGGCTACAGGTGTGTACCACCACACTTAGCTAATTTTTTATTTTTTGTAGATACAAGGTCTTACCATGGTCTCAAACTCCTGGGCTCAAGCCATCCTCCTTCCTCTTTCTCCAAAGTGCTAGGATTACTGGTGTGAGCTACTATGCCCAAAAATGCCATATAAGAAGTATTCATAGTAGCAGTAATCGTATAGTAAAGCTCCCATCACAAGACACTTCCTATGTTACCGATTCATTCTCCTAGACAGATTACGTGCTTCACCTATGAGGTTCTATAATACAATGCCTTGTCTAGACTGAATGCTCAATAAATGCTTGTTGTATGAATAAATGATTGGACTGACAGACTAATGAATGAGCAAATAAATAAATAACGGGCCCTCCTGAATATTGGAGTTCTCTCTCCCTATGGCCCAGAAACCCCAGTCACTGGCATTATACCATCCTGTTGTTTGTTTTTTTAATCCATGTGTTTTTGCATGAATTGTCAAACCATTGCCCAGTCATCAAAGTCAGTATAGACTAGTGGTGAAAGAATGGGCCCTGGGTCCAGGCTGTCTATCCTGAGTACTGGGCTAATCTCTTAGAGCTCCAATTGCCTTCTCTAGAAAAAGGGGATAACAATGGTACTTACAAGATTGTTGGCTGGGCACGGTGGCTCATGCCTGTAATCCCAGCACTTTGGGAGGCCGAGGAGGAAGGATTGCTTGAGCCCAGTGGTTTGAGACCAGCCTAGGCAACATAGTAAGACCCTGTCTATACAAAAAATAAAAAATTAGCCAGGCATGGTGGTGTGTGCCTAAAGACCCACCTACTCAAGAGGCTGAGGTGAAAGGATGGACGGAGCCCAGGAGGTCGAGGCTGTGGTGAGCCACGATCATACCACTGCACTCCAGCCTGGGCGATAAAG